CAATATTTATTTCCGCAAACATTGAACATAAGATTTACGTTAATCTTATTACTAGTCTAATCCACTAGATGTCACCCCCTTATTTGCCTTGCGCGATGTTACAACGGAGAGTCCGTCATTCATTCATTGCTTAAAATGGCGGATTCAGGTGCGTTCCCGACGTCAACACCACCTTCCAGGCTCTACAGTGCGACCGAAAACTACTGCGTGCGACTATAAACAGTTTTTTAGGAGCACCAGTGCGACTGACCCGATCTTCATCATACTTGTGATTGCGCTCAGGGGAGCTTCAAATGTTTCTACGTAGTAAAAGAAAAGTAAGCGTAGAGCCCTGGCTTCACATAAAAAGTCAGAGGTATGGAAGCATTTTAGATTTGGCAAGCACGATGACAAAGATACTGTGGACAAGAACAAAGCTATATGCCAAACAGTTGATGGGCCCTATTGACTTGACTTCCATAGTATGGAGAAAAATATATGGAAGTCAGTGGGGACCAAAACAGTTTGGTTAGCCATATTCTTCAAAATATCTTCTTTTGTGTGCTGTGAGATTTTGTTTTATCTTAAACATAAAATAACCTGATCCTGTTTGATCAAGGCATGCGACTGTTCTGACTTGTCCAATTTTCAGCATCAGTTATTCATCTTGCATCAAAATTCTGTCTATTCATTGTATGCATTTGAAATATAGAGTTGGGTTTTGTTTTATTGTACCCAAGTGTACCTAAAATAAAAAGTGTTTAATATACAGGTTTGTGGCTCTTAATTTCCTATTAATTAACCATTTGTAATCTTATGTTCACTGTTCATTTTTTATAAATATAGGATTTGTATTAAATCTGTATTCATTCATATAGTCAAATCGAATCGAAATCGAATCGAATTGAGAGCTTGAAAATCGAAATCGAATCGAATTGGAACATCTGAATCGATACCCAGCCCTACTTTAAATGACAAAGTATTTTTCACAAATAAATAAATATTTAATAAAAAATATAATAAAAAAAAGGAAGTAAACACTGTAACCAACAGGGAACTCGGTATTCTGGGAAGTTTGTGTGCATTGGGAATCATATTTTTTTTCAAATAAAGCCAAGGTAACACTCATTTTACATACAGCACACAGTATCTCGTCTTCGTCTCGTCTTAGTCATGGGAAAAAAGCTCGTCAACTAACATTTTTTGTCATAGTCTTCGTTAACGAAATTAACACTACTGCTGATCTTCAAGCCTGACTGTACGGTATGTGGGATTCAGAGCTCTTAATGGAAACTGTCAACACTTTAAACAGCTGACAACAGTATCTGACACGACTCTCTCTCGTCTCAAACGCATCAGGAGCCGCTCTGAAAGCAAACTCAGCTGCGAAGCGCGTCTAGAACGGGTGGGATGCGCTCCAGACGGCATTCATGATGCATAAAGAACCGCCGACACGAGGAGACAAACACGTCTGAGGATCTCAGTCACGTGTGGCACAGAATAAAAGCCTCTGAATACTGTACAGAAAGATACACAAACAGTTCACAAACAGAAAATAAGATAAAATAAATATGGATAAATAGATAGATAAAGATCCATTTAAATCAAATAAAAAGGGTAAATAAGAATAAACAAAAAGAAAGAAAGTGATTTTGAATATATAATAATAAATAATAAAAAAATAAAGAAATAAAAAATATTAAAATAAATTAAAAAATAATAAATAAAGAAATATATATTTATATAAAATAATGATGTTATATAAATTATATGTATGTGTATATATATATATATATATATACACACACACACACAAATACATAATGAACAAATAATACAAATTTGAAAAATAATATATAAATACAAAAATTTTAAATACATAAGAATAAACAAAATAAGAATCAATAAATATGTAAGTGCATAAACATAGGAAAGAATAAGAATAGTATTATAAATAAAAAATAGAAATACAAAAACATTAAATAAAACAATTATAAATTATAAAATTATAAAAATAAAAATAATAGGAAAAATAAAATAAAAATGAGAAAAACACAAATAAAAATGAATAAATAAATATCAGTAAATAAAATAAAAATTAGAAAAATAAATAACTCGAACATGGAAAAACAAACAAACAAATAAAATAGAAATTAGAAAAATAAATAACTCAAAAGTGGAAAAACAAACAAGTAACTTTTGATTATTTGGGGCCACTGCAGATTAGACTTGTGCCGGTATTCGGTAATGCGATATATCACGGTAATGAATATGCACGATATTGTTATCGATCATAGGCGCACCACATGCTTCATATTTAGAAAAATATATATATATACATAACCCTGCTCCAATAAGTAAATGTTTTTACAGTCCTGAAACAAACGGAGTTGTGTGATTTAAATGAACACACAGAGCTGTACTGTAATGCAGCGGCGAGCGTGTGCTGAGTTTGCAGACGACGTCAGGAGCGTTACTGCAAAATAAAAGACTAAAACATCTACAGCTGAGAAACAATCCTTCGTATTTAAGAATCCACTGGGAAAACACTCCCTGATTACAGAAAACCCAGTAAAGAGGAAATCCAAGCCAAACAAGCCATGCAGATAGGAAGCCTGATAATGATAATGCTGGAGTTTAGGGCTGGGTGACGTCGCTAAAGCATTACATCTCTGTGTTTCTGATCCTATAATGCGCAGCGAGAGAGAAAAATCTGAAGGGCTTCCAGCTCTGATCTCTTCAAAATGAATGAATCTCTCAACAACATCAGAGAATTACAGACGACTGAGCCATTTCTAGGAAAACCAAGACTTCTGAGATGATCACTTAACATGCAATGAAGTTATGTG